GAGACTTCTCATTATTCCATTAATTTTGTGTACTTTTCTTGTGCACACTGGGGCCTTTTGTAAATGTATTCCAATGTGGTTTTACTGCCAATAGCAAATACAATGAAAATGAATCTGATTTAAATTGTAGCCGCCAAAATGACTGCTCTGGGAGTTCTGGTATAGTTTCAGGATTGTGGAAGTCGGTGTCAAAGAGCTGGGATCCTTAAACGAGCATCCACAAAACATGTTCTTGTTGCGTGTGTGACGTTGTACTCAGATGCTAAGCTATGACAACGGCCCTGTCAGTAGATGTGTATTTTGCGTCGGTGTCAGAGGTTGAAAGCAGATGACTGAATCCTTTGCAGGGAGCATTCTGCCCATAGGATTAAGATTGGATGGCTGGGTTTAAAGCTGTCAAAAGAGCAGACTCAAATCCCTCACTCACAAACACTTTATGGTGCTCACTCGCGGTGCAGGGGAGCAGTGGTGGAAGCAGATATTTCTCTTTCATGCCACTTACTTTAGAAGCCATTCAGCACATCATCTGGATTGTGGGGGATTTGCAGAGTGCTGAGTAAAGCAGCCAGATTGGAGTCAAATTAGTTATGTTGTTTTCTGGTCTGCATGTATTGGTTTGAATCGCTCAAACGTTAGTACAAGTTGAGGACGTGATGACCCTTGCTGAGACTGTGAAAATCCAGAGAAGTATTATTCATAGCCTAACAGAGCTAAAGCTGAACCATTTGACCTCATGACAGTGTAAGAACTCCAAGTTTTCTCTCTTGTACTTGAGGGAAGACAGTCCAATGTATTATATAGTATCAATATCATCTATGATGCATGCAAACTTGGACTTACAGTAGCTAGGAGGTATTACAACAAAGTTTGGTACACATTTATTTTTACTGCTTGAATTATTATTAAATGTAACCCACTGGTTGGAGAACACGATTTAGTGTGTCGACTAAAAGCCAAGACGAGCAATGAACACCATTTCCACTTTGATGGCTGCACCAGAATTGATTAGGAAACCAGAATAAAACCCACATACATGGCCATACAAGCATGCGAAAGCCAGATCCCGTCAGACCTCTGAAGCTGTGCAGGGCAGCGCCTGGTTAACAATGTGATGGGAGACCTATGGGAATGGGTGGCACCAGGTGCCACAGTGGGGCGGTTGCGGCCGTAGAATGCCCAACTGTTGTTCTGTCCTTAGGCAAGACCCTTCACCCACATTGCCTAGAATGAGTCTGGTGTGTGTGTGAATGGTTGGTGGATGGTCGGAGGGGCTGGTGGCACAAACTGTTTGTCTTGCTTTTGTCAGTGTTCCCCAGGGCAGCTGTGGCTACAGTAGTAGTTTATCACCACAGTGTATGGAGTGAAAGAATAATGAAATGTGAAGCGTCTTTGAGTGTCCAGAAAAGCGCTATATATATCCAATGCATTATTATTATTATAGACACGGGGAGAATATCTAAAATGTTTGGTGAGCGGTCCAGGAACTGCACACGTGACCTTGCTGTGAGGCATGAGAGTACTTATAAATTCACCAGGCCTAGTTCTACTTTAAAATTTGTTTTTATATTTACAGTGTGAAATTGTAATGTGTATATGCTTCGTAACCTTTGCATGACTCTGATTACTTAAGTTTGCAAATCACACTTAGAAGTCAAATAAATAGAAAATAATTAACTTGGGAAGTAGCCTATTTGTGTGTGGGAGCGGTACTTTTTGCATGTCTTAGTGTCACGGTAAGCAACCAAGAGGGAAATTGAAGAGGCCAACAAAAACAAGAAATCATTTTCCATGGAGGAGTTATTTGAATGGAATTACAATCGAAAATTATACAGTGTTTGCATAAAGATCACGGCCATATAAGGAATAGCCTTTTATTGCTAGCACTTCTCGGTTACACAGATTAGAAAATGTATACAATTTCTTCTGCAATGTCAGAACCATAGACCAGGGATGACGGTCCTTTTGGTCCGAGGCCGCATTAGACCTGATCGGAAGTCACAACTTATTTAGCATTACTTATACTAAGTTTATCCCTTTTTTTCTCTTTTGTTTAAAGTTGGTTTAAATGTCAACCTTTGCATCTGCGGTTATTCTTATACATCAATCTTTTGGCTGGGTGAAAAAGATAATAAAAGACCCAACCTGTGTGGACAGTATGGCCTTTGAGAACAATGACAACACTTCAGGAGCGAAGCCTACACAATAATATTTGTACAGTCCTACGATCAACAAATGATCTGATATGACCAAGCAACTAACAACCCAGGAACCATGTCAAAATTGTTTGCCCAGGATCAGTATATCCTTGGGTTGGATTAGGGTTTTACTAAAGTTAGGGTAAGGACCAAAGTACATTTTTTTGGTAAAGGTTGGTGTCATAAAAACATCTTCTTACTTGTTGATTTGAACCCTTATCCTCTTTGAAATGCAAATTTGTCCTAGGTTTTTTTTAATTATTTGAACTACAATTCACACACAGATTTTTTTTTGATACTTTTCACTGTTTGCAATCTCTTTTTTTGGTGTTTTTTGATGACCGAATGCTTACACCTATAAAGGCAATTTGAATCAGCAAATTGTCCTTTAATGATATTATATCCACATTTTAATGCTTTTTTTTTTTTAACACATTAGCTCTTTAAGGATCACCTAATTTTGCCTGTTTCTTCTCGAATTATGATACCCAAATGGAGATGCTTATTGTGTGTACATCTTGTGTCTGATGTTGTGTTATGATGCCTCATTTGAAAGGAAACACACACGTGAATTCTAATACTGATGCTGTTAACTTAAAAATATTTGAAGGTGCTTTCACACCTGCACCATTTAGTCCACTTAAAACGGACTGGAGTCTGGAACACTTGCAAGTACGGTTCGTTTGAGCAGGTGTGAAAGTGGACCAGTTGAATTTGGTCCGGACTAAAGAACCGTACCGAGACCACCTTAGGGAGCTGGTCTCGGTGCGGTTCCATGCGGACTCCAGTCTGGTTTGCTGCTGGTGAGAACGCAGACCGGCCTCAATATGGCCCTGCTCTGTTGCGTAGCTCACTTTTTAACACACACATTGTTTTTTTATATGATAGAATAGTCAAAAACAACCGCAGAGTGTTCTCGTGCTGAATCCGTGATACATACTGGAACTGGAACAACTGTATTTGTGCTGCACAAAGCAACGATGATAAAAAAATAGCCTCACACTAGAGCAGCACAGTTCATCGTTAAAGATCTGACAAGTTTGTTTTCTTCTGGTATTCTTCCCTCTTCACATCCTGCACCAATCAGGTTTCACATACATCATCCACTACACAGTATTTTGTGAACAGCGCCACCACATGGGCAGAATATGTAACATCCACAGTGGTTGGTTCATTTGAAAAAACACTGGTGTGAATGATAACCAAACTAGTTGAGAACTGCAACATTGTAACAACTTTAGGGGCCAAGTGAACCACTTTAGTGGACCAACAGGAGTGAAAGCACCCTTAATATCTAAATGAAATTAAATAAATAAATAAATGAATACTCCCTGTATATGAAGGGTGATCATTTCTTTTAATATTCATAGGCCTTATAGTTGTGTTTCTACCGGAGTTATGAATCAGTCAAAAACAACAACACAAGGTTCTTTTCCTTGTCCACTTTCACTTTATCAATAAACCACAAGCAAACCACAGATCGTTGTATCACCCAAATGCACATATAACTGGCTGTTACCATGGAAACAATAAGAAAAATAGCCCAAAGGTGAACTCTAATGTAAAAAAAAAAAAAAAAAAACAAGGTAAAGGGAAAACAACCAGCCTGTGCTTTCAATGTAAAAGGCTTTATGCAGTAGACAAAAACACCTGTAGGACACAAACCTGTTGGTGAGAGACTGACGATGGAAGTAAAATATCCAAAGAATGAAAAATCTTTTATTGTACTTATTAGTTTAAAAGTTATTGTTTTAAAGTGTGGTTACGATGAAACACCAGTGATCGCAACTCCAAAAAATATGTGGTCAGCAGCAGTAAAATGAGCTTTGCATTGCACTGTCTTATATCATCTCAATTTATTCTATTATCCATTTCCCAAAACACTAAAACTGCCAAAACAGGCCAACGACTGGCCATGATTATGCACTCAACAAACTTGCGAACATTTAGACAGTATTAGATTTGTTTTAAAGTATTTATACAAGTCAAAACAATAGAAGATTTCCTATTTTAAAAGCTTTTTTTGTCTCATGTTGACTGCTGGAGAAAGTTTTGATGCTGATCCTCAACTTCTAAACTACTCTGCATTTCAGTGCTGCAGCATTGGTGCGAGATGTTGGACTGAAGTGCCTATAGAATATTTTAAATTATAAGCAGAGGTCAGAGCTGCTATGACTCCACTGATTGATTTGTGTGCAGCTGCCTTAATTCGCACTCACTGTACTGCGAACATTCTAATCACTTGAGACAAACTTACTCGGTGACTCACAGTTCAGTTACTGTCGCACAAAATCATAGGTGTTAAATCGTCCCTGTTTCAGCGTGCTCGTACAGGCAACACAAAGACGTGGATTTGTTAGTATAATTGTTGCTGTCTGTTATGTACAGATAAAACAAAAAGATCTCCTCTGGTGAAAAACGACACGGGTTTCAAACGGCTTCATTTATTCTCTAGGAAACATCCAGAACACCAAGTAGCAACAACACAGGCAGGACTCACCAGTCATTTCTTATTACTCACACAAGAGTGCCACCTATTGGTGAGGCGGTGACACTTCACTTTCTAATTACTTTGGGTGTCAAACACCACAGCTCCTCCCCTGTAGTTTTAAAATCTCCACTTTAACATACAACCCTGTTGCAAACAGCTGTACCAAAAAAAAAACAATAAACAATTTGGTAACCACACTACTAAGTGCCATGTAAATAAAAAACAAATACATGCAACACTGTCCCTACAAGTCCAGACGGTCAGGAGGACGTACATTTCTGTGAGGCCGTTCCCTGCGTGCAGAACTTACAGGATTACCCAGAGCTCTGTCTGGCGGTACCAAGCCCTGGTTCTCCACAGGCACCTGCTCAACAAGATCAGTATTTGTTAAGTCCTCTCCTGGATCAATGTGGAAATCCCAACGTTCTTCAGTGTCATTTTCAGTCCCTTGTGGAAGTCCATCTTTCCGTTTTGCATCAAGCATTTGGTTTACATGTCTCTTCACATTTTTTCCATTCACCGAGACCAAATATGTGACAGGACCCAAAACCTCAGTGATCACACCATCCAACCACTTCTCGCCTCCCCTGTAGTTTCTCACCAACACACTTTGACCCTCAGAGAAAAACCTCAGTCTTGTAGGAGGAACACTGATAGTCGGCACGTACTGAGATGCGTCCGGTTTCACTAGTGAAAGACGAGTGCGAATCTGTCTCTTTAAAAACAGTTCGGCTGGAGTTTTCTTAGTGGTGGAATGTGGCATATTTCTGTAGCTGTACAAGAAATTAGCAATACAATGTTGCAGCGTCATGCCCCCTACTGCTCTATTCTTTGCTAATGACCTTTTAAAGTTTTGAACCAACCTCTCAGCCAATCCATTTGACGCAGGATGATAAGCTGGGGTTTTAATGTGTTTTACCGCATTCATGGACAGAAACGTTTCAAATTCACTCGATGTGAATTGCGGGCCATTGTCTGATACTAGCTCTTTTACTAAGCCATATGACGCAAAAAGACCCCTCAAAACCTCAATAGTCTTGGCTGTTGTAGTAGACTGCATGTGAATAATTTCCGGCCAGCGGGCATAAGCATCCATTACGACCAGAAACATCTGTTTGTTAACCTCTGCAAAATCAATATGTATTCTTTCCCATGGACTAGAAGCCCATTTCCAAGTATGCAGAGGTGCAGTCGCTGGCATGCTACGCTGGTGCTTACAAATGTTACACTGACTTGCCTCATTTTCAATATCTTCATCAAGAGTAGGCCACCAAAATAAACTCCTGGACAGACACTTCATTTTGACCATTCCCCAGTGGCTTTCATGTAACTCAGACAGTAACCTGTTGTGTAGTTTTTCAGGAATAACAACCCGGAAACCCCAATGAACACAATCTTGTTCCACTGTCAAATCAAATTTGCGCTTTACATATGGCTGTAAAGCTTCTTCTGGGACATGCTTAGGCCAACCTGTTCTCACATAATGCTTTACTTTTGTGAGCACAGGGTCTTTATCAGTTTCTTGTGCAACATCCTTGGCTGTAAGTGGTAAAATGTCTAAATAAGACACTCTGAAGACTGGGTTTGGTTTTGGAAAGTTGTCGTCTGCTATGGGCAATCGAGATAATGCGTCCGCATTACCATGTTGTCCTGAAGGCTTATACTGAATCTCATAAGCGTATGCTGCCAATATCAGGGCCCATCTCTGCATCCTAGCTGCAGCTAAAGGTGGTACTCCTGTTTTGGGACCTAAGATCTTCAGTAAAGGTTTATGATCTGTAATCAAGGTAAACCTGCGACCAAACAAGTACTCATGAAACTTCATTACTCCAAATACTAAGCCCAATGCTTCTTTTTCAATTTGTGAGTAGTTCTTTTCCGCTTTAGTGAGCATGCGGGAAGCAAAAGCGATAGGTTTTTCACTACCGTCTGTCATTTTGTGTGAGATCACCGCTCCTATCCCCACTGGTGATGCATCACAAGCCAGTAAAAGTGGCAGGTCTGGGTTGTAGTGAACCAGAATTTTACTTGAGGTAAGCGGCTTTTTCGCTTCCTCAAAAGCCTTCTGACACGAGGCTGACCACTCCCACTTTTCTTCCTTCTGTAACAATACAGTCATTGGTGCAATTATCGTTGAAAGGTTTGGAATGAACTTCCCATAATAACTTAACAATGACAAGAATGATTTCAGCTCTGTTGTCGTGGTGGGCACTGGAGCATTCAGAATAGCCTCACACTTATCTGGTAAAGGGTGAATTCCCTCTGCATCAATGACATGTCCTAAGTATGACACACTATGCTGGAAAAATGCACATTTTTCTCTTTTTACCCTGAGGTTGTGATCCTTTAGTCTTTTCAAAACCTCTTCCAAATGCATTATGTGCAACTCTGTGTTATTTCCAGTAATCAGGATATCATCTAAATAACAGATGACCCCATCAATACCCTGCAGTACTTGATCCATTAACTTTTGAAATATTGCAGGTGCACAAGCTACACCATACGGAAGTCTATTCACTTGGTATAGCCCCTTATGTGTATTTATTGTTAGATATGGTTTAGAACCGTCATCTAACTCCACCTGTTGATAAGCTTGTGACAAATCCAGTTTAGTAAATCTTTCACCACCTGCTAGTTTAGTGAATAAATCCTGTGGTTTGGGTATTGGGTACTGATCTACCTCAAGCCATGGGTTGATTGACACTTTATAGTCACCACATATCCTTACAGTTTGATCCGTTTTTGGAATATTGACTGTAGGTGCAGCCCATTCACTATAATTTACAGGTGTTATTACCCCATCAGCTTCCATCTTATTTAGCTGATTTTCGACTGCCTCTCTGAGTGCATAAGGTACCGACCGTGGCTTACAAAACTTTGGAATGGCACCTGGCACCACATGTAGCGTTGCTTTAATCCCTTTCACTTTCCCAAGACTAGGTTGAAATACGTCTGTATATTTTTCACATAGTTCCTGAAAACTTTCTGATGCCACTCTGTTCACAGAAGACCAATCCAGTTTTAAACTTTGAATCCAGTCTCTTCCCAATAAGGCTGGACCATTACCTTGGACCACAAGTAGTTTAAGTGCCTGAGTTACTCCATTACATTTAACTGAAACTGAAATACTCCCTCTTAGCCTCAGAGACTGTTTACTGTAGGTTTTTAACACACAGTTAGAAGGCACTAGTTTGAGCTTTTTGAATCTCCGCTTATACAGACTCTCTGAAATCACAGACACCGCTGCCCCGGTATCTACTTCCATTTTCAACCTTTTATCATTTACCCTTATGTAAACATAATATGGTTTCACAATGTCTGTATCACTGTCAGAGTTCACGTCCTCACCCGCAGTTTTCATGGAGAACAGCTCCAGGTCACTGATGTTACCTGCCTGGTACTCCGAGACAAAACCTGGCTTGGTTTTAACCTCCACTCTCTCTTGAGCGGCTTGTGGCTCCGCAGATGCAGCTTGAGTTTCCATCTCTGAAGTGTAGAGGACAGCAGGCTGTTTCTCCGGTGGTCTGGTCCTCCCGGTGCAGATATTGCTCCTGCCTTCCCCACGACGGCTGTCTTTCGGCGGGTCCCTGGCGTCCAGATGCTTTGTCCACTTGGTCTGCTTGTCCTTTCTTTCTTCGTATTGGGACCTGCAGGCTTTAGCGATGTGCCCTTTCTTCTTACACACTCGACACTCCACATCTTTGAATCTGCATTCGCCTGGTCCATGTCCATGGCCAGCGCATCGGTAACACGGTTTACCGCGCTCCTCTTTCTTCACATTAGACCTTGCAATGGCGTTAGCTTTAAAAGTCTTTTGGGACCACTGTTGGGCATTGTGTTTTGTCACCTCATATGCCAGTCCCATATCATATGCTGCTGCCAGGGTTAATTCTTTCGTGTGCGCCACATTTAACAAGCGGTCACGTAGCTCAGCGGTTTTAACCCCGCACACAAATCTGTCTCTGAGAGCATCTTCCAGAAACGTCCCGAACTTGCACGTGGCTGCTAGCTTCCTTAAGCTTGCCATGTACTCACATATAGACTCGTTTTCTTGCTGGCTTCTAGTGTTAAACTTGTATCGTTCGGCAATAACGTTGGTTTTGGGGACAAAGTGTGTGCGCATCAAGTCGATTAACTCTTCTAGTTTTTTCTCCCTCGGCTTAGCAGGTGCACACAGATCCATTAGCAGCGTGTGGTTCTTCTTGCCGACCACCGTCAAAAATACTGCTTTAGCTTTGTCATCCTCTAACTTGAGTCCATTTGCCACAAAGAACTGTTCTAACCTTTCCAAATAGGCATCAAAACATTCTTCATTTTCATCATAGTTAAGGTCTTCACCTTTTCCAAACGCCGACGCCATTCTCACTGCACGTGTCTCAACGGAGTTTTTTCTTTCGTTGCAAAAACAAACAAAAAACTCTTCTCATCCAGAGGAAAATCCCATCCTCGTCGCCAAATTCTGTTATGTACAGATAAAACAAAAAGATCTCCTCTGGTGAAAAACGACACGGGTTTTAAACGGCTTCATTTATTCTCTAGGAAACATCCAGAACACCAAGTAGCAACAACACAGGCAGGACTCACCAGTCATTTCTTATTACTCACACAAGAGTGCCACCTATTGGTGAGGCGGTGACACTTCACTTTCTAATTACTTTGGGTGTCAAACACCACACTGTCCTAAGTTGTTATTGAAATGACTTTATTTAATTATTTTTAAATGGTCATAAATATAAAGACGTCCTGTTCAAATGCAAGACACAAACAATATGCAGAAACAGGCAACACATTACATACACACAGGTGTAGGAGGATAAGAATGACCCTTTTTCCCTAACAACAGTGAGTAGGGAAGAGTCTCTCCCTCTCTTTATGCATTGTGTTTTAAAATAGAGACTTATCCATCAAACCTGTGATGACTGTGGGTCACTGCTGTTGCCCTTTGGTTGTTGGCATGTCTTGAATATGCAGCCCTTCTTACATGCAGATAAAAGCCAGAGCCTCCCTGTATTTCGGAGGAGGGCGGCCAAAGAAAAGACAAAAACCAGACTCCATTTTGAAGCTCGCTCTCAAAGAAGGTTGCCATCTCCAGGCTCTCTTGGTCCTCCAGAGGAAAATGTAGGGCCCAGAGGCCTGACCATCTATACTTCTGAGTCAGCTGTCTTTTTATGTACAGCACTTGTTGCCTTATTGTTTTTATAAGTGCTTTACAGATGAACTGGACTGTACTGGACCATAGACTGTAAAAAATAATGGACGTAGTCACGCCTATCTCCGCCGTTCTAACTAATGGGCCAAAAAATGTGCTCTACTGGAGCTATCCAAAATGGCCGTGAGTGGTCCCGCCCACAAGACAATTGTGAAAAAACGCATCTGCGCATGCGTCAGCCGGCGCAGCTCCATTCATTTGAACGAGAGACTTCAAAAATTCGCAGCAAGTAAACTAGAGTGGTCCAAAAAAATCCACCCCCCTCAGCATTGATACACATGTGGAACGGCCTGGACACCGAACCGTGGAAAAGACTCACTGATTTGTAAAAGGATTCACATCTTCAGATTTTAATGGAGAGAATAGAACTTATAGCTAATTAACTAATTAAGGACTCATATACAGTATGTACTGAATCAATGAATGATCCAATTCATAGATAACGTGATGTCATAAGCACATTATCAGTTGTGATATATTCACTGGTGCCCCGAAATAAAGTTATTATCAATTCTTGTATTTATTACATCATTGTCTTTGATCCAATTCTCCTATATAAAAAACTACCTTAAAATATGCGTAATATCGACTTCAATATGCCTACACAGGTGGCAATGATGAAACAATTGTTCATGTACAGATGTATATTAACAAGTATACTGTAACTTTTCCCGGACTATAAGCCACTACTTTTTCTAGTTATTTGACCCACACCTTCTTAGAAGACGTAATGTTTACTTTTTAAGTTTGAGTAAGTTGATTCAGAGAAGGAGAGGAATGAGCCCTGCTGAAGAACTTTCGTCCGCAGACACTTGAAGCACTAAATAAAGCAGTGTTTAGAGCAGAAATGTCCTGATATAAACCAGTTTTAGTCCTTTACCACTAAAAACATGCCCACACACTCTGGGTTTTTTATGTTTTCCCCCTTTGTTTTGCAACCAAATAGCTTCATTCAGCTTTGATATTTTTCAAAAAGTTCTGTATAAGAAAAGCATGTGCATTGAACAGTTTTCTGTATTTCTCCCTTACCACTTCTATAGATGTATAAATAAGTCACTACATTGCGTTCATTGTCCATAGGTTTTGCTCTTGGTTATATTCAGGTTTTTGCACTGTGCTGCTTTTTACATTTATGACATTTCTTCAAGCAAGTAGAACCACGATGATGAAACTGGTGGAAACTTCTGTTAAGCACTGCAATAAGGGACAGGGGCAGGCTACACTGAACTCATGCTGTGGATAGTTGACAGACGGAGACCCCCCGATCCTCAGAACCAGCAAATAAAATAGTACAATATACGCCATTGTCCAATTTTTTCAGCAAAAACAAACAACAAACAACAAACCTTTTCAGGGTTGGACAGAGGAGGCATGAAGGGTGAACCAAGGCTATGCAATGTTTCTCCTATTGACGTAAAATATAGTCCTACGGCAATGAAGACACAATGAAAGCATGGAAGTGACCTTAACCGGGCTAATTGGCAAGAGTGTCTCACCTCCGCTTGAACTTGGGACTCAAATCGATCGTTCCTATTGTGATGGTGCGCAGATGGCTATTGTCGTAACATAAGAGGTCAGATATTTATATGCGGCACTGGATTTCTATTTATTATGAGTAGTTGCCGCGCCAAGCCGGTGCTGAAATAGCTATTGATTAGGAAAGGGGCCATTGGTAGCTCGCTGCAGGTTTGATTATTCATGTGAGAACGACTATACCTGGACACGATCGATACAGCCCCAAGGATAGAAGAGGAGCAGTGGATCTCGTACAGTATGTGTCAATGAGGCCCTTGACGCAGAGGCCGGTGGAAGAAGCAAACGGGAAGAAGAAAATGATGTCGTCTCATTTCAACACTGATCATAAAAATGTACGACGCGTGGAAATGGTTCAATGAAAGAAGTGATTCAATACAGAGGGGCGGGACAGATTGTTGGCTATTTTTTATAGCGAGCAGTGTTTGTTATTAATGGCAACTAGATAGAAGCACATACACTGCAGTGATTTTTGAATGGATTTTAATGTAAAGTTACCATGTTTTTGTAACATCATAAAAAAACAAAAACCCCATGCATTATTTTGTGACCCCAGACTTGTTGTTTGCCATTGTTTGTGATCAATCTACAAACGAGCACCTTCATTTATGGCTTGTGTGATGCATTATGAAGATAATTGTGATCAGTTTAATCAGACTTAAATCAGGTTTAGTGATATGAATAATAATACATTGATTATAGATAGCGCTTTTTGGACCCCCACAGACATGGCATTATTCAGTCCCTCCATACACAGCGGGATCAACTACTACTGTAGCCACAGCTGCCCTGGGGGACACTGACAGAAGAGAGGCAACCATCAACCTTTTTGATCACCACCACCACCAACCACTCCCTCACAGACCAGACTCATTCTAGACAATGTGAGTGAAGTGTTTGAGGACACAACCACAGTTAGGCACTTTTACACCTAGTGTTCCCAGAGGTCTCCCATCACAGTGCTAACCAGACCCTGCCTTGCTTAGCTTCAGAGGTCCGACGGGATCTGGCTTTTACATGCAGGTGTCCTCATGAGTACAGTCTCTTTAAGTTAACGTACACACACAAAAACTGAATCTTGTTTTCTCTTTATCATCTGTACATAATAGCCTTCTCATTTCACAAAAGAAGATTAAATGTGATTGGTTGCTTGGCTTTGTTTTCTGTTTCTGCATTATTCATTCTCATTACAGAATAAAGAAAACATGTCACGACAAAGCAAAACACTCCAGAGTAAACCTGTAATTAACAAGTGACTTGAGGTACGTTACACCCTTTTGACTTAATTGTGCTAAATTTCATCTATTCATTTTCAATTTGTCCCTGGCATACAATAATAAACAATTACAAGTTGACAAACAAAAGCCAAACAGCAGTGAGACCAAATCCTCACAAAGCTATTACCTGTGGAGGATATTGCGCTGGGTGCAATGGTAATGGACGGACAATGATGTGGCAATAGAAGCAATCTCCTCATAGCAAATGAATGTACATCTGCTGGATTGTTTCCCCCAAAGAAATCAAGAGGAAAAACCCCATCAATTAGCTGGGTGCGCATGGAGGCACGGTGTGATGGGAATGACAATAATCAAGGCCTCCTCCACGGCTGCAATAATGTCAACCTCCCAGCTGCGGAAGATATCCAAAACAACAGCTTATATTATCCATCACCAGCATTGAGGAGGGAATAACACACTGCCACACGAGTTGTTGTGCCAAGGACGTCTGTGGGATGCTGCTGTCTGACTTCTAGAACTAGACTTCTAAACTTCTGTGGACGATGGGTGTTCTCTATGCAGAAATGGCTGAAACTTAAAGCCAATCATTTCAATCTGCAAAAGGAGTAAACCCCTTCCACCTGTTAACGGAGCTTGATGGAGCAAATCTAGACCTTAGTACGAAAGGAAATTTGTTCAATGAACCATCTGGCTAGGTGAATACAATTTGAAATACAGAAAAAAAAATGTTGAAAGGTTTGTAATGCATCATTGAAAGTTTGCTTGTTTTAGTAAATTACACTTTATTTTCAGTCCTGCATTTTTCGGGTTACCACATGAGTACCTAACTTTGTGTTGTCTTGTAAAAAAGTTACTTGCATCAGAAAGAACTCAATGAGTAACTATTGCTCACATTTTTACTTCTGTTTAATTCTGTTTAAAAAATCTATCAAAAAACAAATGGAGACAAGTGATAGATACAAACACGTATTCATGTTAAGGTCATGTTAACATCAGACAGAAGAAGGTCAGAAGGACCAATTTGTTTCTTTATGTTGAGTGTGCACCTACCTGACAGCTACATGTTTTTGTGCACAGAAATAGTTGTGACGTTATAAAGGGCAATAAAGTGACTTTATAAAGACCAGTAGGAGACTAGAGGGCGGGGGGAAGGGTTTTGAAGTGTTCTACACTTCAAGAGTCCAACAGCAGAGGGGAAGAAACTGTTCTTGTGGCGGGAGGTTCTAGTCCTGATGGACCGCAGTCTCCTGCCTGAGGGGAGTGGTTGGAATAGTCCATGTGCAGGGTGGGAGGGGTCGGCTGTGATACGACCAGCCCGGCCTCGAGCTCGTGCGAAGTACAGGTCCTGCAGCGATGGAAGGCTGCGGCCGATCACTTCCT